GCCAAGATTCACAGCACTTTTACACAAAGCCCTTGGAAAGCTTGCTACCCTACCTAAAGCGGGGCATACCCGATTTTTTTCCCTTTTCAGGCCGATTTTCTAGTCGTGAATTTTATGATCGGGCCAAGTTTTAGCCTCATCGTGTGTCCTGCGTCGTGTACCACACAGGGGGTAGAGAGGGGCGATCAGCCTCTCACGACCATCTCCCAATTAGAGATCATAAGGTCGGGAGGAAATCAAACGTGTCTGAAATTTAGTCGGCCCTCATAAGGTGTTCGTGGGCAAATCCTGCTGTTGAAGCAGAGCTACGAGTGTCTATGAGCGGAGGGAAAATGGGAGTCCAACCAGCGCAATCTCTCGGTGCTCATCTCGTGTGGTTTTTGGACATGCAGCATGAGAACATGCATCGTGAGCTGTGAACTTTTAAACCCTGCGCATAGTACAATTGAAAATATTGCACAGCAGTGTATGCTCTGCTTAATTCTAGAGCCCATCATGTTAGTGTGAACCAATCCCAGAACTTGGAATTGACCAGAGAACCGCAACTACTGCTGCTCCATCCAAAGCTTGAAGAGATTTGCTTGCAGTGTGAATGTATACTGCTCCTAGTTTATAAGAGGCAGAGTGTGACATAAGAATGGCAGCATTTGGGCAGAAGAAGAACAGCATTTGGAAAGAAGAATCTGCTTCTGGTCCAGACCAATTGATGAGAGGACTTTGTTCTTCATGAGTTCAGAATATTTCAGTGCAACTGAAAAACTGTCTCGCCTGGCCTCAAAATCTGTGAAACTAACGAGTGGAAACTGAAGGTGCACATTTTCTAACTCTACTGAAATTTGTATTAGAACATCAGTGTGAATTCACATTAAAGTCTAGTTTATAATCAATGTATTGATCGTATAAGGAGGTGCAAAATAACCATAATGTAATTGCACCAACCCTACCCCCCGCACTGTTTAGCTGCATGGTCTTGCACCTCTCTCACTACCTTTCATCTGGTTACGTGCTTATTTTCCCTCCTATGCATCAGCATTAAAGATCCTCTTTAATATCAAAACTATGACAAAATAGGAAAAATAGAAATGTGCAAAACCTTTTAGACTGAGGTTATGGTCTAAAACTGCTTTTTCTAGTATGCAGCGTCACCATTCTAAAGTTCTTTAACTAGATGCCAGTGAAATGTTATATGTAGAGTCTACATGCAATGATGATATCAGTTATAATAAAGCCTTTTACCCAGCTTTTTCATCTATGTTCCAATTACTGTCTGGGAACTTTAGCATCTTTGGAAAAATCACATACTTCAAGTGGACTTCAATATCTGCAACCTTTTAGTCCTGTGTAATATATAGAAAAACTAGGGCTGAATCAATGAATCCAGATTAATCCTGATTAATCGATTATTGAAATAATCGTCAACTAATTTAGTAATCAATTAAACGTTACTTGGACTGTAGAGACTGTAAAACATTCCTTTAGTTGACAGAGAAACTAACTCAGAGCAGCGATTATACCAAAATTGTAAAAAAAATATATAAACATTTTGCATTTAAGATAAAAATGGGCTCTATCCTGAACTCCTCAATTGGAAAGTTTTAGTTTCACCTAAGTTTAATTTCCTAAAACATATCGTTTAAGGAACCTTTTGCTATTCATTTAATCCGAAAAAAATAATCAACAGATTAATCGATTTGAAAAATTATTGTTAGTTGCAGCCCTAGAAAAAATAATGATGCAGCCCAGTTTATTAGCAAATAAAGCACAGAACATCAAAAATGTACCTTTTTGGATCAAGTCCATGTATGAAAACCTAAAATAAAGGCAGACTGAATAAACTCTATTATCTCTCAAATGACAATATGTTTCATTGCTTGATTCATTGTCATTTTAACAAACAACAAAGCAGTACATACCGTCATATTCAACAAATGAGGTAATGGAAAAGGTTTTTTATTTCAGAAACTCATTTTGCTATGTGAAAAAAAATTAATTACACATAGATTGATTAAGCCTAAGTAATTATGGTGAATTTCAGCCAACAGCTAATTAAAACAAAACATTCAGGATAAAAATACCAAATAAAAAGATATATTTTAATGTAGATATTTGAGGTAATCAGAAAAAAGAAGTTTAACCCTGTGCAAAGTTTGTTATTTTCAAAAGCTATTTAATCACACTCTAGCCTAAACAAAGGGGTACGGCATACGCTTATCTTTTGAACATGACTAAATGAGGTTTAAAAAAAAAAGAAATGTCAACAAAATTTTCATCATCTAAGTGTATTTATGACAGTTGATATAATAGTTGTTTGTTTTTTTACAGACATTTCTCAATTACAGTCAATCAAGGAGCCTTTAAGGAGCAGTAAAGTCTCTGAAATGCCATCATGAGGGCGAATGAACACACAGCGAGGGATTTAAACCCAATAGGTGGTCTCTGAGCCGGGGCCTACAGACACAAGTAGCAGAACAATAGTATGACCTTAAGGTCAATGGAGGAGATGTGTGCACAAATGGGCAGAATTAATCAAACGTCGCAGACGAACAACAGTTTCATTGTTGATTCATAATGTTCTTCTAAATCTAAATCCATACAAACCTGACACCTGAATGGTCACAAACGTCACCGATGTGTTTAGACATTTCTCTGCTGCCAAACAAATTATTTAATTGGTTAAAAACAGAATGCTAATTGTTTCAGGGTTTTTTCCTATGACAATATATACTTACCTATTTCTCTAACTTTTTTTTTAACAGTTTTTTTTAACTAGCCCTAAAACAAATTCATATAAATATCTATTTAACCCATAGTTCAATCTCTAATGCTTCAAATTTCCCATAATCAGGACGGCTCTTTATATCATCATATAATTGCTCTAAAGTTCTAACAGAGTCTAACAGAGTCACAAAGTTGACCCCTGGTAATGTCGTTAACCTCTCTTCATCTCATCATCCAGACACTCTGCAAGTTAGGACTTAATGCAGGCAGACTCTGATAACAGTTAATTCTGTAGCACTTTGAAGCACCCTAATGGAGCTCTTAGTGGTTCCCTTTCAAACAATAGCCTCACAGTTTACATAAGATGATCCAGGAGTGTCTACCAGGATTTTTACAATCACAGAAGCAATGATCCAACAAAAACAAGACAAATGATTTCCATTTGAGAAACACTGTGATATCAATCATTAATCAATTAAATCATAAATAAATAAAATTAACATCTTGCCCACTTGCTGCTTTCCAAAATAAAAAAATGGGGTTTTGATGACGACAGTATCTAGATGCCTACCTCCTTTCAGCAGACCTGCATCAAACATTTCATCAGCAGGACTTTTCAGAAATCTAAATCCTGCTGAGGAGATGATTTATTGACTTGATAATGATGTGTTGAACAAGTATGCATCTAAAGGTTCCAGGACACTAGAAGATTGGAGTCTTAGACCAAGCGCTAACTTGCGACATTGTGCAACAGGCTGGTTGGTTAGCCTTGACTGCTACCACTACAAAGACTTTACAGGAAATGACTGATATTGCATTTAGACAAGACAGTACAGGAGCAGGGAGACTGAAAAACTAAACCAATGATATAAAAACTAGTAAGGGCAAGTCTTTTATTTGTTTATCTGTTATTAAATGTGATAAGAGAATGGGATACAACATCTGCGGTTACAAAATGATCAGACAACTGGCACCATTACTGAGCTGAAAGGTTTCGGACTTTGCAGAAACCTGGCACAAAGCATCTCCTCACAGATACCATCTCTGCTGCTGCAACATGTACTGGCAAAGTAAAGCCCATCCGACTTCATCCAAAAAAAGAAAAACAAGATACCTAAAAGTAAGGCTGGACTACAGATTTATATTTTCCTAAAGGCATTGCTATAAATGAACAAGATTTTCTTCTTAGGTATGCATCTTTACAAAATGAACAGACTGCTTTGAAACATCCTGATCCTGAATCAGGCTTGAGTGTTGATTATTCTCAAAACATGTCTGAATCCCTATTGAGATATTTTTTTCTAATTCCTTGATTCATGATAAAAACTAACTAACTTCAGTGTAAAGGTGGATTTAAAAAGCTTTAAGTTCTTCCCCTTTTTCTATTCTTTCTTTCAACTCAGGAGCAAACAGCAAAAACCAGAAATATTAGTTTTAAGAGCTCATCTGCAGCCCTCTAGCTGATTTCAGTTTGCCAAAAACAGCAAAATGCTGCTTGTTGTTAATTTGATCCTTGCTGTGTAAAGTCTAGTTAAAGAACTTCTTAATATTTCCTCTTCCGTAGTTTATTTTGAGCACAGAGGGATGGCAAACTGCAGCCATTTTCATTCAGATCAAAAAAGATCAGTCGTGGCGATAACAAAAACCTCAATATTTTGAAGCTGGCTAAGCTGATACAAGCCTCTGAAGCGAAGAAAAGCTGGTAAGATAGCATCTCTTTACAGCACTATGAACACATGTTTTGCTTTCACTTCAGAGGAAAGCCAAGGTTTGTCTTGTAAGAATTTAGATGACTTTAAAGATCCTCTTTAATATCATTTAGTTTCAAGACTCTACGATAAACTAACAAGTTATAGTACAAACCTCGTCTAGAATGGTGATGAACAACAAAGAACATTATCCCAAGGAAACTAAGCTGTAATAAATTAAAGATTTTAAACCAATACAAGAGATTTATTGTTTTAACATGTTGCCATATCAATGTGCTTTCATTTTCCGATGTTTGCTTAAATATTTGGCACCATCACAGATCTGGTTGATTGTCTGGATGCTAAATCACACTCATTCACATCTGCAAATATCTTTGTTATACAGCAAAGAGTTGATGACCATGTTATTGTGCTTATATACAACAATATGCACAGCTTAAGCCAAAAATAAAAGGGATTTTCATTTGATTTACATTATACAAAAGAAAACCTTAATAGTTGAAAACTATTAAGCTAAACTTTATATGTGATGCACATATAAAAATTTAAAATAGGAAAAGTAAAATATCTTACCTGATAGTAGGCTTTAATCTGCCTGATGAGAATAGAAAGGTTCTGAATACGCAGCGTAGGGTCATTGTTTACTTTCTTGTTGGTCCTCTGCACAGTGGCTTTGGGATTTCTAGAAAGAAGAACAATAAAATAAGGTTACCAAAGATTTTTTCCCCTCAAATGTTTAACTTTTAAACTGTTAAAACAAGTGTCTGCGACAAAATAAGGAGGACAGCTTTTAATGGATCATGTTTTAAGAAAAATCAACAAACGGAAACTACAAGCCTTTAAAATAACAATTCAAACTGAAATATTTTTGATGAAATAAACTGAAAGAACATTTAATGATCGTTCTGGGCCTAATAAGTGTCTCTGGATACTTGTATGACCTCCACACATGACTTTGTTCTCATGACCCCGAAACCAATTCAAATTCCCAACTCTTGTGCAACAGACCCTCTTGACTGCTTATGCAAAACAACACATGACCACTACTGTATTAAAGTTTTAAACAATATCAATATGGCTCATAAATTCTGTACCAGCAATCCTGGTGTAAAACAAACATCAACTATAAATGTTTCAGAAATGTCTAAAACATCTACATCTTCATATTATTTAAACACACAGAGCATTGACAACTGTAGCAACCTGATGCTTCCTTAGAATGTATATTTGCCTTATAAGACAATCCGCTATCTGTCAGGTAAAAACATTGTAATCCCTGCATCATTTGAGAGCTACAACTAAAGAGGCCGAGATTATAATACATGAACATGGTTGAAAAGTATTGTTGTGTCTCTACTTTTCACAAAAGACGGGCTTTCTCTGACAATGGTATGCTTTGAAAAAGGTTTCGAAAGTGGACGAATTTCACAATCGTCCAGGTCTCTGTCACCCTGTGCATGCACAAAAGAAATTTTAAATAAAATAATAATCTCTCAGCTTGGAGAGCACATGTGCAGTAGGACTGCAATCAGTGAAGCAGGGAGTTTTTATAGCCAACCCGATTTCATTATATTTTAAAAAGTCAAAAAACAAAAATGCTTAAAAAAAAGATCCCAGGCACTACACTTTATCTGATTCACTATTTTAGCTAGAAATCTTTAGTGACATCATGTTATGAGTTAAAAAGAAAGTCCCCCTCTTTATAAAAGTTTCAATTTATTTATGATAAGACATTTTTAGAAATATCTTACCAAGTTGCCACTTTATTTGCCACTTAAACTTTAATAGTATAAGATATCATCTAAATGGTTATTTGCTCATATATAACCTAAAAGGAAAGAATGTTTAAGTGGAATCTGAAAATATCTAAAAGAATAACAGAATATAAAATTCCTCTAACTTTATATAAAATTTATAATTGAGTTTAAACTTAATAAGGATTTACTTTCTTATACAAATCAGAATATTTATTTAGTCTGTTAGACAACGGGAGATTCCTCTTGACAATCAGTCTCATCTCTCAGCTTCTAATCTTAGAGAGTCTGAAGTAAAAACTATAATTTCTCTACGCTGTGAAAGAAAACCCATATCTGTATTTCACAGGATCTGACTTGGATTCATGTAGAACAATTCTTTTATATTCAAGATTTGTAGAACCTTAAAGCATCGATAGAAGCCCTTTTTCCATCAAGCTTTTCATATGATCTTCAATCGATAACACATATATACCCAGTGACCTATTTTTTAGGGGTCAAATGCCAGGAACATCCTCTTTAAAAAAAGGAGGAGGGGGCTCCAATTGTTTATGAATGCATGCAGAGCAGCAGCACCAGTGAAGTCATGCATGTTCATGCATTGCCTATAGCCTGCTAATCTGTTTACCAACAAATGTGTGACACTTTAATATTGAAATAAAAGTAGATGAGAATGTCCCTTTGCATAGTAGGGCTAATAATGGCTACAAAAACATGTTTTCTAAGCAGAAACAGCCGACAACCTCTGATCTATAGAAATAAATTGTCACATTAAACACAACTGCAAGGTGAAAAACGCCAGCAGACAAACAGGAAGGCCATCAAGGAAATAATGTTAATGATCATAGTGATGCATGCTTTATATTTTCTGAAAGCCTTTTTCTAACTCAACTGGCAATTTTTTTGTATGTGCTAATTAGCTTAGGTCAGCCTCCACCCCAATACACAGAGTCATTTATGCTAATTGGTGAACACAGGGTTCTTTTAGTGCTGGTCTAAATGGACCCTCATGTGACCTCCCCATCTACCCCCTTCACACACACACAGCCCTTTTCGAAGCCCATTATAGGGGGTCTATTTAACTCTTTAATTAAAATCACAGAGGAAGCTATAATCCTATCAGGGCGAGCAGGGTAATGTGTTGTGGGAGGTATGGGGGAGAAAAAAAATGGCATTCCGTCACTGTCAGAGTCAGATGACTACGTGGCTGCCATAGAAGTGGAACCAAAACATCAACATCATTGATGCCACCCCTGTGCGGTGAAGCACAGCCCGACACCCTTTTGGATTAAGAAGTTAATAAATAAGGAGACTTAAAACAGTAACGGCTGTCAAAAACATGCTTATTAACCCCCACCCCCCTAATCCTGCTGATACAGTAAATCTAACACTTTAAATACACAAAAAGATTAGGGGTAGACAGCCAAAGCCAGTTCAGTTGCCAGGAAGGTGGACAACTCTTCAGCAAGACGACCAGACGGCGAGTCAATAAGCCGGCCCGTCGGTGCCGTCCCTCCTCAGCAGCCTCAGACCCCGGGGCCACTGGGCTTCCTCCTCCCGTGTCCCGCCTTTGATTGGTTGAGTGGGTTATGGAGTCGTGTTAACCTATATATGACAGGCTGAATTAGGCTCAGCTTGGGCAGCCACGCACATACACATAGAAGCAGAGAGCAGCCTAAATGTGCACACACACACAAAGAATACGGGCTACATTTGGCCACGTGCTGGAGCTGGGGATTATAAGCTGTACTGTCCAAGCACAGCGGGGCAGCGTGGGCTTGGCTCCTGAGGTGTGCAGGGCAACACGAATAGAAAACCATTTAAGCCCGAGGTTAATAGTTCAGGTAACAGAAGATAAAATAAAATGCTACATGCAATAAAAGTCAAGGTTTCACATTTTAAACATTACATCAAACCTGTTCTCTCTCCATCTTTTACTTTATGACAGGAGATTATACTAAAGCCAACAGCAACTAAAGAAATATTTACAATTTAAAATGAAATTAAGTTGTGGTTCTCTGTTTTATTTTGGTGGAAACTAAACATTTTGTTGAGCATGGATAGTCATTTAAGATAATATATACAAAAGAAATATCAGCTTAATAAAATAAGAATAAACCCGATAAAAAACAAGGTACCCTTGACATCATCTCTGAATTCAAAACCTGTCAAACTGTGAAGCGCATGGACAGCAACAGCAACAGAGGAACCCACCACCACATCTATAAGAACAATAGACGGAGGTTAAATATCAGCTGCAACATTTAGATGTTATAGAGAGAAAATGTCATTAACAGTTTTAGGGGTTCTTTCTTTCCTTGAGTCCATACTGTAGTTCAATGTGATGGTCTAATTGTACTGGGAGGTGCCCAAAAAACCAAACCTGATTTACTTAAAGTAGTCATGGATGAGGCTAAAGCTTGGATTATGCTTGACACGTCCTCGAGGTCCGTGCAGCCAAATTACGTCTTTTTGGGCTTCCACGCCTCTCTGCTCAGACTCGATACAGACAGGATTTCCACACAGTCACCTATTAAAATTTGTGAATACGAGGATGGAAAAAGAGCTCAGGAAACCTGGCGAGAGAGTAGAGGGTCCTGGTGGTGAGGGTTCACAAATGTAAACAACTTCAGACATCCCATTATTTAGCTCATAAATATCTGCACTATCAACACATTTTGGAAAAACTCCAGGAAAGAAACTGCTTTCGCAGTCCAACGGCAGTTTACAGGTAGGTCCACTTTCGGCCACCTCAGTAACTTCGGTTAAACATCCTATAAACACTCCACACCTCTATTAGGGTACTGTTGCACATAAGGTCCATTAATGAGCACAGTCTACTTGTTTTCTAATGGCTGCTCTAAACATGATGGTCTCCAATGGTCTCCACAGTCAGCAGATGTGCAGCCAATAAATCTGCAGAAACAACCCAATGTCATGCTTTATATGAACCAAAATTTTTCAGGCAAGAGTTCAAAAAGTGTATTTTATATTGGAACCTGTATTACCTGTATTATACTGGTCAGTGCCAAATTAATCCTACAGAGTATTCAGAACTTTAATGATATAGATTGTTTTGCTCCAAGTCAAACTAAGAAAGATAGAGTAGCTGGTAAATAATTATTGCAACCATGCTGCTAATTGCCAATGTTAAGCTGTAGTTTATGGACCTTAATAATCCTGCTGAAGTTTTATAACAAATGTGTTTGAGGGGACCATTGAGGGGGATTATGTGTCCCTTAAGCCATTGGGAGGCTCAGAACAGATGGACAAAGTGTTGAGTCTGCATTAACTGAGAAAAGGCAGGACTAGAAAATTAACCCCAATAATGGGAGCAGAAAATGGAAAATGTAGAAGTAAAACAATAATGTATAACCATAGTGTTCAACCTAATCTTTTTGTGTTTGTGCATGAAAAGCACTTAATTTGCAATGCGTGACATGAGAAAGTTAAGACTCACAGTTGTAACATCCTCCTGGTTATGAGGCTCCTAGTGACTCGCATTGGACTCACATCACCACAGCTGTGTGTTAAACTTTCATCCCTTAAGGTCAGAGCTGCAGTTTCCTGACAGGTATGATAAAATACCTCCTGCTGTATGAACAACGAGACTGGCATGACTCAAAGATGATTATAAGTGATGAAAGATTAACATCAAACTGAAAAAAAAGAGGCCCTGTTCCCCCTCCCAGACAGTAGCCGTAAAAACGAGACAGAGAGACACCCCAGTGGCAGATAAGCCTGGCTCCCTTCTTCAGTCCAAGAATCTGAACTATGTCTGCTATAACCTGGCGCAGACAGGAAACGGTAGAACAAAGAGCACTGAATAAATGAGTGGGAACAGAGAAGGAATAACATTAAGAAAGGTAAAATGGTTCAATATAAGTATGGGCTGAAAGAAGAAGAAGAAGACAGTCAAAAGGTGATA